TAACCGGAAGGAGGTGGAAGTGTCCCACGCAGGACCTTGTTCATAAACGTCTCTCCTTCTTCGGCACTGGGAGGGCCTTCCATGCCCAACCCTTCTGAAGGTGAGTCTCATCAGCATCACCTCTGTCCCCATCAGAGCTCCTGGAGGGAGAGGCTGGTTGGGGACACAGTGGGGACCCACAATGACAGGTAGGATGAAAGGCACCAAGAGACCGTCGTGTACCCTCAGGCTTGTCCCTCCCATGGGGCCATCACCTCTCCTCACTGAAGCCTCACACTTCCACCAGAGCACACTGAGCCCCCTCCCTCCCACTGGCCTCTCTCCTCCAAGGTTTCTTCCTTCCTGGCAGCCCATCCCAGTACCACAGCCCACAGGCTCCACTGGGCTGACCCTGGCAGCCTCGATGGCTCATGGCAGATGGCGCCATGTGGACTAAACAGGAAGCCGGACAAGAAAACACTCCCCTCTCTTCCATGTGCCAGGAACTGGGATTGTTTGGATTTTAATCATAGGCACAGCTAAGAGCCAACACTCGGCCCCTCCAGCCAAAAGATAAATTTTCCACACTTAACATGTAATTCTTCCTCAAAAAACATAGACCCCTGCTACCAGGGTGATTGCTCCTGAAAAGGGGGTTTCTTTATTTTTCCAATAACTCTTTCTTAGTTAACAGTATGACAGAAACAGGACTGGAAACCCCACCTGAGGGGATGAATAACAGATTGTAAGCGAACAGATCCATTAGATTGTGTAAGATAGAGCTAAATGTGCATATATATATACATAAATATGTATATATCATATTATAATAGGGGCTCCTAGGGGTGTGATGGGGGGAGAGAGGATAAAGGGGAGCTGATATCAAAAAGTTCAAGAAGAAGAAAATGTGTTGAAGCTGATGGTGGCAGCAACTGTACAATTATGCTTGATCTAATTCAAATATGGATTGTTATAATATCTGTAAGAGTCTCCAATAAAATAATTAAAATAAAATAAAACAAAGACAGGCCAAAGTAAAAAACAAAAACCAATGTGGCAGAAATGAAATGCTCCAGGGACATGGTGCACTCACACGCCGACCACCCTGGAGGGAACATCTTCATCCCCAGGAGGCAGATCTAGCTCAGGGTGTATTGAACCCTTGAGAAGATGAGAGCAGCATCCCATGATCCTCTGGGAGCTCTCTGACATTTTCTTTAAATATATATCCACTAAACTGCTGTTTCTAAAATTCCCTGAAACGGGTCGCCAGGGCAGCACACCATTGATTTTGTCTCCAATGATTTTTTAGAAGGAATGCTGGGCGCGTTCTCAATAATGCAGCACTGCAGACCCAAGGGTTCCCTGGTGAGATGCTGTCCCTGACTTCCCACAGACCAGGACAGGCGCCCCAGGAGAACTGGGGGCAAGTCTCGAGTGACTCCTTCATGGGAGGGCACCTAGGTGGACAGTGCTGGCCCCCAGCATGATGGAAGTGACAGATGGACCTGAACTGGACATGTCAAAAATGCCCAAACAGTAACTGTCTTGTTATACCTATGTGCTGACCACACTTTTTAAAAAACTAAAACTGTTAAAAAGAGAGAGAAAGTAAAACACGTAATTTTTGAGAATTATTGTAAAATAGACACCTGTGTTGGAAGTAGATGTGGAAGATCAGCCGAGTGGTGAAGGATTGGAATCCACCCTCCACTTCCTATTTAATGAGCGGCCTTAATATGAGCGACAAGACTCATACACGGAGCTGAGTAGCTCAGACCTCAGAGGCAGAGTGGTGATGAAATCCCTGTCTTGTGGGATCATTGTGAGGAACAAGTTGGGCAACACACAAAGCTGAATAGATTGCGTGAGATCGGTAAGATCTCAGAAATCGGTGTGCTGGCGTTGCAATCGCCACATTCATTTACGTCTCAGGGTAAACAAAGTTAGAGACTAGCTTGGCACAGTGGTCAAGAGTTTGGAACCAATGCACCCCACCATGTATTATCTATGGTGGGCAGGAACAGGCTACCCTGAGTAGAATCGCCTCAGATGTAGGTGAACGCTGGCCTTTAGCACAGTCTATCATGTCAGTGTTTTATAGACAGGTCACTCTTTTGAGAACGTGTGCTGGTGCAAAAGGAGCCCTGGGGCCCAGTGGGGAACCCACCAGCCACTCGGGGGTGGAGAGATGCAGCAGCATCTGTAGGAAGCCTCTCAGCCTCAGGATGCTGAAGCTGTTCTACCCTGTCCTCTTGGATCCCGCGTCAGCATCGGCCCGATGGCCATCGGCACGCTCAGCTAGGGGGTTCTCATTAGTGTGCATCAGGATTTCAGGCCCACGTGACTAGAGAACTCTTATCTCTCCGCTTATTCTGGGGACTCCAGAGCAGTTGGGGCCTTACAGACAGGGCAAAGTTCTAAGGAAATCAAGCAGACTAATGCAGCACCCCGCCCTCAAACCTCCAACACTGTTAGAGAAAACCCTTGGGCTCGGACTCCTGCAATGGGCTTCTGAAGGGCACTTGGGTTGGCGGGAACCTAGACAGACAAGGGCCGTGATAATGAGTAGAGCAAGCACAGCATCCTGGGAGGCTGGCTGCACACAGTGCCCTTGCTGAGCAGTCAGGTCTGAAAAGTTCAGGTTATAACTGACTCCTCCTTGCGATGTAACAACGATGAGAAATACAACTTTCCTCTAGTTCCTAAATGCTTCCTCCCTGCTCCCACTACCATGACTCGAATTCGACCTTGCAAGTCTGGCTAGACCAGAGGATATACACTGGTACAGATAGGAACTGAAAATACAGGGAATCCAGGGCGGATGAGCCCTACAGGACCGATGGTGTGAGTGGCGAAACAGGGAGGGTAAAGGGAGAGTGGGTGGGAAAGAGGGAACCGATTACAAGGAACTATATGTGACCTCCTCCCTGGGGGACGGACAACCGAAAGGTGGGTGAGGGGAGACGTCGGACAGGGCAAGATATGACAAAATACCAATTTTATAAACTATCAAGGGCTCATGAGGGAGCGGGGAGCGGGGAGGGAGGGGAAAATGAGGACCTAATGCTGGGGGTTTAAGTGGAGAGAAAATGTTTTGAGAATGATGTACAAATGCGCTTTACACAATTGATGTGTGTATGGATTTCGATGACAGTTGTATGAGCCCCTAATAAAATGATTAAAATAAATAAATAAATAGCTGGCTCCTCCTTGATCTGCGGTCTTCCCAGGTGATGGAGGGACAAGGTAAAGGGCACACAGGCCTGAATCGCCAGCTCGAGGGAAGGCACTCGCCTGGGAAGCCTGACGCTCCAGCTCCCTCCAGGCCTTTTCAACGGGTCCCCATTTGGCCCCTCAACACGCTACACGACGCATCCTTCATGCCCAGAGATGACCCCAGTGACGCCCCGCCAACATGAGTTCTTTTTTCCCAGCAGCAATCGCAAAGTTTTCCCTCATCCAGCCAACATCCGTGTGCAAAAGTGCAGGCTGGGGGAGGGGTGCAGTGATGCGTCTTGGAAAGCAGCAAGGCTGACCAGGCCACACATTAGGGGGATAAATGCGTGACCTTGCCCCCCACCACACCCCTGAGAAGCCCCTGCTCCAGCCAAGCAAGCTCAAGTCACAGGTAGTGACAAGGACCCCCAGTCACTAGCATTGCCCCTTGGCTGAGTTGCTCACATCACATTGGATGGGGAGGCTATAGAACCTGCCTCCCGTGGCCCACAGGATGATAAAACTGAGGTCTAAGTGAAATCATACCTGATAACCTGGAGTTACCTATCATGAATATTATTATAAATTGATAAACCAAAGACCCAACTCACTACCAAGGAGTTGATTCTGGCTCTTAGTGACCCTTTGGCAGGATGGAACCACCCCCATGGGTTTCCAAGGTTGTAAATCTTTAGGGGCGTACAACAATCCTTCTTCCTCCTACTCACTGTGGACCTTGCAGGGAGTAGCCCAAGTTATAACCCACTACACCATCGTCGATCAATGTTTATTATTATCAACATCAATTTTACGTTTATAGATTCAATTGTGTCCCTCCTCTCCTGACCCCAAAAATGTAAGGTGAGACCCTCACCCCGATACCTGGGTAGATGTGATCCCATTTGGAAATGGGGTTCTGTTATGTTAGTGAGGCCATTAGCAGCCTAGAGTGTGTTCGAAACCAAATCCCAGTCTCAAGTATTTGAAAAGCAGGAGACACACCGAGGCAAGTGCGCACTGGGAAGGCGATGCCATTTGCAGATTGTCTATAAGCCAAGGAACTAAGGCTGCAGATGGGGGAGGCGGGAGCGGGCGGGGCTGGACTGGGGCTCTGGGCCTCCAGAATGGAGAGAAAATAAGTGTTTGCTCCTTAAAGTCACCCGGGAACCAGGGCACAATTCTTTATGAATTCCTTACAGATCAGAAAAACAGGTCTTACTGAAAATGGAGCTTCCTGTCTCGTGAAAGGTATTGCGCCCAGAAAGAGGATCAAAAGCCAAGCATTGGATGGGTACATTCCACCAGCCAGCCCAGCGCCCCCTTCAGGTGTGCTCCTGGTCTCCAGGTACTCCTGGTCCTTCTGGCAACCCAACCACCACACTATTAAGTTGTGGGTGGCCTTCCAAGATGAACTTACAGTTCCCGAAGAGTCAGCGTCTGGAACAGCTGCCAGGACAGGGTGGTGAGCCGGTTACTGGACAGATTTCTAAAAAACAAACAAACAAGGGCCAGGGAATTAAAGACCAAGCCCCACACGCATAACGTGCTCCGTAGTGAGCTGACGAATTTCACTGGAGTCTGGCTCTGCTGCGTTCCTTTATTCCACTAAAGATACAGCTGTTGATAGCGGGGAGAGGCCACAGATCAGCCTCGGAGACAATCCAGGGGCTCTGACAGAGTTCCATTGTAGAGCTCAAAGAAACAGTGAACTTCTCTTGGGTTTCTCCCGGTAACCTGTCCCCACCAGAGAGGCCCAAGGAGCTTTCTTGAAGCCACCCTTGTAGAGAAGGGCATGATGTCTCAAGGTGCACGGGCAAGGAGCCCCTCTTAACATTCACAGAGGTTGAAACAGCTCGGCAGGTCACCTACAGTTCCTTCCAGCCTGCCGCTCCTCCCCAGGGCAAATGCGCCCAACGGTGATCAAGACATCAGCCTTTTGTTCACACTTCTGTTCTCTTCTGAATGGCGACTGAATTGTCCTCATTAGGGCATACAGGGGAAAGGAGCAGCCGTTAGTCTTCGGAATAAAAGAAGAAACACACCCGCGGTTGTTACTTTGCCAGGCTCAACAAACAACTTTGGAAGCCGTCACAGCCCTTGAAGGCAGCCGTGCGATGCTGCTAGCGTGGAAGTGGCTCCCCAGGAATGATGCTTGTGTGCCGATGGGACCCCATTTAGGTAACCATCAGGCCACGCACACTCGAGCACTGCAGATCCATGACCGTGAGACATGTCTGCAGGAACCACAGGCTTGCACATGCACCTATATTTAGAGGGCCTTCTACCATTTGCAGATTTGTTGGGAGCCAAATCTAGGCCCCGCCCTAGAGAACCAGGGGCCGGGCCAGCCCACAAGGTCCCTCCAGAACTCAAAGCCAAGTCACAAGTGAGAAACAAGAGAGTTGCGCAGATAGAAAAGCCCATCGAGTTGACTCCCAATCACAGACACCTGATAGGGCAGAGTAGACTGCTCCTGCGGTCTTCCAAGACTGGAAACGTGTACAGGAGCAGGCAGCTGCACCTTTCTCAGCAGTTGGCGGGTTTGAACCAGCGACCTCACAGTTAGCAGCTCAATTCTTAACACACGGCGACGCCAACGCTCCTCCCAGGAACAGAATGCAGGGTACAAATACACCTCACTGCCACGGAGTCCATTCTGACTCCCTTTGGGTTTCTGAGGCTTTAAATCTTTAAAGGAGCAGACAGCCTCATCTGTCTCTCCGAATGGCTGGTGGGCTCAAACTGCTGACCTTGTGAATAACAGCTCAGGACATCACCTAGTAGGCCACCAGAGGCCCTGGGTGTCAACAAAGCAGGACTGACTTTACACAGGATGCTCTAAGGAAATATCTGAGCTGGGTCAAGTACAGCGAAGATGAGTCAGCTGCCAGCTGAGCCAGGCTGTACAAGTAGCAGGCACAAAAGGTCGAGGGGGACCAGGAGACCAAAGATCGGCCAGTTAAGAATCAGCTGGGAGAAGGGAGTGGTTTAGGATAAATGAGAAAGAAAAATGTTCCTCCACCACCACCACCACCACCACCCACACACTAAATATGTGTTGTTAATTCTATCTGGGAACAGCATTTTCTTTGCTATTGAAGGAAGCGTTAATGAGGTCATTCTCAGCGTAGGGTGTGTCTTAAGCCCAACCAGAGTCGCCACGTGACCAGAGCAGGCACAGGGAAGCAAGCAGGCATGGAGGGGGCCCTGCCATGGAGGGGGTCTCTGGGGAAGGCGGAGCAGGAGACTGAGGAACCGCAGACCATGGCTGTCCTGGACAGTAGACAGAGAAAGCGCTTTCCTCTGGGATAGGGGCTCTGCAAACGTTTAAGCCAAGCCTGTCCCTCACAACCATTCAAAAAGTATTCGAGAGCCATAAATATATTTTTACAAACCAACAAAACGACCATTATCCAGATTAATATCCTCTATTTTTTTAGTAAATGAAGTTATGATAGCTTCATTTTCAATGTTATTTCAGAGTCACATGTATGTAGCGAAAGAGCCACATACAGCTCACGAGCCAAAGTTAGCTAATCCCTGCTCTGGATCATGCACCCTGAATTCAGACTCACAGCCGCTGAGACTGTGAGGAATCCAGTCTGTCACACCCGTCCGTCCTGTGTGGTGTTCCTATGGCAGGGCCGTCGAAAAGTCCAGGTCTTCTCCTGAAGAACGATGGGAAGGCACTGCAGGTGTCATGTCAGGTAGGGAAGGACAGACGTCTAACTGCCATCTCTAAGACCAGGAGGTGGAGGCTGACACCTGGGAGACCAGCTCAGAGGCTGCTGCCAGAGGGGCTTCCGGGCCAGAGAAGGGAAGCCTGCCCCTGAAGGGGATGGCGTCAGGACAGACGCTGGAGATGTCTAATGCACTGGATCTGGGAGACAGACCCAACCAACCAGGGAGAGGAATGGTGATGGCCTTTCCTAAGGTCAATGCCAAGTCATAGCGACCCTACAGGACAGAGTAGAACTGCCCCCAAGGGTTTTCGAGACCGCTTACAGGATCAGAACGCCCCAGTAGTTTCAAACTGCTGACCTTGTGGCGAAAAGGTGGGATTGAGAGTAGGGGGCCCCTTCATGGCGGTGGCAACAAGGAGCTTCTGCTAAGGGTGACGGGGCATTCTGCAAAGGGGTCATGTTGATGGCCGGACAAAAGCCATGACCCACATTGCTGGCCTGTTCATGTGAAGCACGCTGGAATGGCCAACGTGTCCAGCATCCCCCAGAGGAAAGAGAGAGTGCCTCTTCTTTGCAAACCAGAAGCCAAGAGTTCCAGGCCAGTGGACTCGCGTGAGGCAGATGCGTGCACACTGTAAGGGGACACAATGGGCACTGAGGTAGTTAGTTTATTGTGCCACCGTGACCGATAAACATATATGAGGTTAATTGAAGGGCAGAGGGATAAATGGCTCGGTGAGCCTCACCTTTTGAGTTCTCGGGTCTCTTGCTCTCTGATGGTCGGACCAGGGTGCACCTGCCTTAGCCAGTTCCCTGCTTCAGCTGGCAAGGCTCACTTCCTGCAAGACATCCCTGAGGAGAAGCCACATGGACCTACTCTGATGCAGCCCTGGGTACTGGAGCAGCTGTGTGGAGATCCCTGCCAGTGCTGAGATGCGTATACATTCACTGACTCAGCTTTCCTCCTGCAGTCAGCATCATTGTGTCTGTTTTGTGCGATGGAGGAGGACTTTGTGGATTCGTGTCAGACATAGGGGTTAATGGATTAATGTTGGACTTGTGGGCTTGGGCAGCATTGGGTTGGGATGCTTTCTTGATGCGCACTTACCCTTTATATAAAACTCTCTCTTATACAGGGGTTTCTGTGGATTTGTTTCTCTAAAGTGCCCTGACTAACACAGGCACGTACAGGAAGACTGGGTGGGTGGGGCTTCCACATCTACCTTGGGTGGCTAAGTAACAGAGTGCCACTGAGACAGCTTGTGACTGCATTGGGACGGCCACCCCAATTTGAGGACCCAGGGTGGTGGGGAGAAGGGGACCACAGGTTGGTGTCTGTTTGGATTGACTGAGCCCGTCAGAGCAGCCTGCTCTTTCCCTGCCCTGAACACCCGCCCTCTCCATTCTGAGTCTTCAGCCCACAGAGTTCTTTGTGAGGGAGTGCCCCTCAGCGCCCGCACGCACGCCATCTCCCTGAGGGGGGCAGAACTCCTGCGCACCCCCAAGAACCCCTACAGCAGGCAACAGACTCAGCTTCACAAAGCCCCAGTCAACCTTACGTCCCAATCCAAGCCTCTGCCACCATTCCCCCACTGATCAGGAAGCCAAGGACCCATTGCCAGCAAGTGGATTCTGATGAGTATCAGGCAGAGCAGAACTGCTCCTTGGGATTTCTGAGACAATCTTTAGAGGAACAGAGAGCCCTCTCTTTTGCAGTTGGTAGGTTTGAACCTCCAACCTTACTGGGTTAACTCAAGCCCAAGTCACTGCCATTGAGTGGATGCCGACTCACAGCAGCCCTGCCCCTGTAGTTTCCGAGACGGTAGCTCTCATTGTGTTAGCAGCCCAAAATATAAAGCCCACAATGCTGGCGGGGCTCCGGACCAGAAGTTTCCCTGAGTCTGTAGCCTCTCATGATGCCCCATGTGTGTCAGGGTAGAACTGTGCTCCGTGGGTTGTCCATGGCTGATGTTTGGGGATGTAGATCACCAGGCCTTTCTTCTGAGGGGCCTCTAAGTGGACTTCCACCTCCAACGTTCTGGTTAACAGCTGAAGCCTTACGGCAGCTGAACCATCTTCACCATCCGGGGAGGCTGATCGGAAGGATTCAGAACAGCAGATTCGGCTCAGCGGCTCCTGTGCTGCAGAGCAGACTGTCCCACGGTGTTTTCTGACTGTACTCTTAGCAGAGGAGTGCCAGGCCTGCCCCTCTCAGGCACCACGGGTGGGTTTCAGCCGTAAGTGAACAGTCAAGCATCAAGCCCACCAGCAACCTTGCTCCAGGAGCTGAAAGAGGACCATCTGATGCAAAGCCACCTGCAGGGTTTTATCTTGGGTCTAGATGGCAGCGTCAGGAATCTGACAGCCCTCAGCCCTACTTCAGTTGCAGACTTTACACTGGCTATTGGGCCTGGCACGTGGCGCATGGAGTCAAAGGCAGCAGGCTCAGCGTCAGCGCTACTGATCTCCATTGGTAGTGGCCTTTGTGGTGTTTTAATGAACCCGAGTGCTTTGCCACAGCCAGGTAGAAGTGCTTTGTTTTGCTTGGCTTTTCCTGGTTGACTGCGTACGCAACCAGAGTGGAGCCAGCTGCACCCTTGCAAAGTCACTGGGGGATCCCTGCAGAACTTGGGGAAGACTTCTGGCACTGCCCGCTCACTCCCCAGCCCACTCCTGTGCTCCCTTGAATGGAGTGCTTGCTTCTGAGCTGTTCAGGGGAATGCTGGGAAACCATGCCTCCAGGAAGATGCAAAAGCAACCACCCGGAGAGAGGAGGCCTGCTGGAGGCAGATAGGCAAGCCCG